CACAGACAACAGTCATGAAATTCCGTAAAATGTCATCCATAGTGCTACGGTGATACAAACTGAGCTGGCAATACCGATCGAGAACATGTCAGAACATTATACCACTAATGTTGCGTGGTGAGTTTATTTTGCAACCAGTGGGATAAATGATCATACATCGGACTCAAAAATGTGTTACGAATGCTGTTTGACAATAAATGGAGATCGAAATACCGTTAAAATCTATGCGATCCGACTTTTCCATTGATGTTGATTCTTCTTACTACTCCCGAGTAACAACAAATTGTGAGTGAACATTTGGTGAACCGAGAGAGACACGGGTGTAAACTATATTTAACTGCCACTGATCTCGCCCTTCCAAAAAACACATCAGTTCATTTCAGCCGCTGTTTTCTGAAAATCGAATAGCTACCACCGGAACATCCTATGGTAGCGAGAGCCTTTGAACTAAGAGGTACTCTACTTCGGCATTCACAGTCTGCTGGCACAGGTTTTCTTTCAAACCATTACGTATGCGTGTTATCCTGTTATTTTACAATGTGAATTGGAGCAAATCATCTTCGATCAGATTTACGAACGGTAACCAACTGACTTCTGCCGGGTTGCGTCAAATGTAGGATAAAGTTTTGTGGCGAAACCGGAAAATGCTATCTCTTTACTCACTTTTGGAAAAGCTCCAAAGGCAACGGCTTTATAGCACTTACAACCAACTCTCGGCTTTTATTTTTGACAGGATTAATGCTCGCGTGAATGCCTTGTGAAAGCTACCTAATGATCGCTCGGGAGTGTTAAGTACTACGAAGATATCAAAAGTGGAACTGTCAGCGGCGGAATAAGACCATCGGTGTTTTAACCGTCAGTTCTTATCAAATCTACACTTGCAGCACAGAACTGTGTTCTTCCTTCCCTCACAAATGAATCTTTAGCCTTTCAACTTATTTTCCAAAAATTTCACACAGTTTTTCCTAATTTTCTATCACGGAGGTTCAAGCAAACAAATACCTTACCCACTATTCACACAAATCGCAACAGAGTCGACTCTTCATATATTGATCAAACCTTTCTCATAACAAGTTGCTTGTCCGCAGTGAATAAATAAGTGAACAAATTTTTTGGCCGCACAATAGTTTCCCAACAATCACTTGATGCACCGTTTTATGTCGTGAGGTGAATTTACCGCAATCATATGACGAGTTTGCCTGGATAGCCGTACTCATTTCCTGTCAAAATCTTGGCATCGGGATAGCTGCTAGTGAGTAGTATGTCATTATATCACTCCACAAGTTATTCATGAAATCATGATATTTTCCATGACTTCGGCGTGGTTATATACAGCTTATTAATTCCAGCCATTCTGTTCCGATATGATCCTTGGCTGCCGGGATTTCTGTAGAGAATAGCTTACTCCATGAAACACACTGGACAAATGTCTACGATTTGCTCGCGTTAAGCTTTGTAAGTCATGTAATATCCAAGAAAAGCTGAGTGTTTTCTGCTGAATGAAGTCCAGTGTGGAATCAGCAACAATTCAGTTGGCATACGTTTGATCAAGTGTAACAGGTTCTGTGGTAGCAGCACTATTTATGTTAGAAACGCCTTGAAACTTCCTAAAGATATCTTTGATTAACCGAAAAATTACCACTTATAAGTTTCACAAAAATTCGCGGACTTTGCTGGCACCTTATCACTGCGATCAACTGCTTGCCCAAACTTGTGGTGCACTGGCCACTTGTGAAATGGCAACTTTTGCAAAGAACCTATCCACCACAAAAATAGTCATCGCCGTGGTTTGCCAAAAAAACAATATAATGTAAGACAGGTTCTATGAAGAGTTCAACTAAGGTCTTTCCTGGTGGAATTCTATCTCTGTTAGCCAATGAAAGCGGCAAGAGGGAAATTTATTGAATTGGCAATGTGCTTTTTCCTAGACATGATCATGAGCGATCGCGTCATTGCTGGACGTCGGAAAATTCACCATTGCTTGTCAATACTGCTTGTGAAACAAAGACACCTGCGAACTTTTTAGGTTGTTAAATCCACAAATACCCACCAAAAAGCAACAGCCGTATCATACGTATCACAGCCCATGTCACATTCTAGGAGTAGTGAACAGGAACCCGGTAAAAGGTGATTCTGCATACACTGCAAACATAATTATATTCGTCTGACAGGAAGATAAGATTCTTTTTAATTAACAAGGAGTCAGTTACGTATCACTGCTGAAACTATTGGTAAAGTGTAGGAATTTAGCAGACGAATAGATTGTTTGTAGTAGTCAGGATGAATTCTGTCCGTGTTTGTTCATAAAACGTGTCCACACGGGTTTCGTTTAGAAAAAAACTTAGCCGGCTAAACACAGCTAATTTTATCTGTAAAGGAACCTCGTCAGACGAGACCAACCCTCAGAGGGGACGACTACTGAATTTTAGAACTCTACTAGGGTCATGCATCGGTTTGAAATTTATGGTGGGTTTCTGAACCATGTTTTTTCATAACGGGTGTCATCACAGCTTTACTATATCTACGGCATTAACAATCCATATGGACGTTATCCAAATAGCAACGCTTTGATCCGCCCTGGATTATGATATCATTTTTAAGTCAATCTGCAAAGTCTGCTTCACTGTGCAACTATTCACGCCACCAACCGGATGCAGAAACATGTGGCTGATTTTACATCCATTCCAATTCAGTTCCAATAAAGTACTCTAAATTGGCTGGCCTAAACATTTTGAGGAAATGGACCAGAGAGCCCAACGGAGCACTGTTCGGATGCCACCATGTGTCGCAACACTAAATGAACGATTTCAAAATAGAGTGCGGTCTTCCTGCTGGTGGGCAATGAATATGCACTCGCTTTTCCCACTGCCTGAAAGTTTAACTTTTCTCTCGCCGTTAACTGTGCGAATTCTGCAAATGCTACCAAAAACGTTTATACAGTGTTCCTGAGGTAGAGTGAAAGACAGCTCAGTGACCTGGAGCCAACTGCCGATCAAAGCCCCTACGCTAAGTACGTAGTAACAGAGGCCGAATTCAGTAGTGAAATGTCAAATTACTGGATTTTACGTTATCCTATAGGTAGTACAAGGAAATGGACCAAATTAACTCTCATCCATCGTGGATACGTTTGTGACAAGGAGGTTTATTGGCTTACTCATAAGTGTTCTAAGGAGAGTAGCGTCACCATAGGTAGTGATGACGTGCACGATAAACAGGTAGCGACAAAAAGATGATATTATTGTAAGACGAATGCGTAAGACAGTAATCATTTTCTATACGATATCTTGATCGTTCAACCCAAAACGTTTCAAAATTCGAACCAAATCTAACGACTGCGGCTGTAAAGAAGTCTAGAGTTATTCCTTTGGGTAATACCAACCTGGAGTAAAGCGGCTTGACTTTCTAAGAATTAATGAGTTTCTAACAAATCATCGCACGTTCACACGAGTCTTCCAGACTTCACCACTGCACTTGTGCATATAAAAGTGCCTATTCTAGTGCTAAGCGTGAAATAAATAGTTGAATGTGAATATCGAATTAACCGGGTACGAATTCCTCGACAAAACGTCTGATTGGTAAGTTGCATCAATTTCAATTTAGCTGAAGCATTGCCTTTCGGTGTTGCGCTTTTCTCCTATCCTCTAGGTGGGACATAGTTACTTCGGTATTCCACGCTAGGATAACTCCATGAATTTATATCGATTGGACTGGAAACAAGCTGCACTTACGGATTGCTATGTTTTCCATTGGATGATAGAAATACTAGAGCCGAGGGTTATTATCACGTCCTTATTAATACATTTTCATCTTAGAGGGGAAGCGCACAGGGTGCTCCAAAGCAGAATCAGAAGAAAGATGCATCACAAAACTACCCGATTAGACAGTATGGCTGTGCAGCTACTCCCCATAACAATGGTAGTGATGACGACCTGTTTCCACACAAAAATTGTGTGAACAATGGGGACAAAATAATGCTGGTCAGCAGCCTATGGTTTGGTCATCTCAATGGACAGACCTTCTCTTTCTCAAGGATAATATATTGTTTCTTGCTCCGGAAGTGGTGCATAAGGAAACTTTGCCACGGACCGAGAATGGTCAATCGGTGGTCATATGTGACAGATGATATAATTGGTACTACTGCCACAATGTTTCCTGGCACTATTCGGATCGCATAAATGGGTTGGCGGTTGTGGACCTGTTGCCACCCAATTTTATGATTTCAACAATTGGATTGCAGGTATCAGACGTAGAAAAGGAAAGGTGCCCTATTTTCATGTTTACTGGGCTCCTGATGTCCAAAAATGTTTTGCTGTCGTAATCATCTACACTTTGCCTACACAAGTATCTTCCCGGCTGCCACTTGCTCTTGATCAGAGAGGAAATTAGGCAGATAACGAAAACTGACGGGTATTATATGGGTCCATATTAGGCTGATGCGGGTATTACGTACCAATATTCAAAGGTGTTGAATATTCCGAGCACTGAATCTGGTGGGTGTCAAAAGAGTATTGGTATCACTGCAAGTCGCCAGCTAAAGTCAGGACAGAAGACGTGCAAGACTAATCCCATTGGTCACATTTCAAAGAGTGACGCAAACTAGAGCAGTGTTTCGGTCCCCTATAATCATTCTCCAACAAACATTGGGAAAGGAGTTATGAATTGAGCTAAATCCATCCGACAGACATCCAGATCCGAAACTTTCGACCCGAAAGATATCAGTAAATGTGAGTTTAGAATTCCGCTCAACTCATTTTGATCACAATCTCCAGTTAATCCGTTTTTAATTAAGTACACACCCCCAAATTATGTAAGGAGGTGTGAGAGATGGGCGTGCAAAGTAGTTATTTGATGAGCCAAACGAGTTGAATACCCCCCTAATCCAAGTAATCATGGCCAATCCAACGTGATCTCGGCAAAACAGTGGGAATCGAGTACCGGAATGAATTAAGCCTGAGGAATTCGAACAAGCGGAAGATCGAGGCAATTTAAAATGTCTGGAGGCTATTCACATTGTTTCACTGCCACACCAACAATTTGAGATGAAGGCACGTATCCTGCATAATAAAAATTCTTCGGATGGAAAGTCGTGCGCTATGAAAGCGATAAATATAAACGTAATTCACTGTCGATGTGAGGTAAGCACAAATTGAGTAGACGGGATTAGAAGTGCAAATTTTTCAGCAACGCACTTCTTCGAATAGCAAAAATAGGTTCATATCGAAAGCATAAACAAAAGTATATTAGTAAAATGCACAAGTTAGTAAAGACAATAATTGTAGCTGGAATTCATGCCTAAAGTTGACCACCAGTTTGTCTTGGTTCTACTCTTTTCGAATTCGTGTGGCTGGAAAATACAGACAAAGCCGGGGCTCTTCACGGGTTCAGTGGATAAGGTTTCCATGGATACTTTGGTAAGTTTGCTAACGGATTTGGTTTGACCGCGGTATGTGCTGTAGCGGGCGCAGAGTTTGGTCTTTCAAGTGATGGAGAGCGTTCTTCGGATAGCTCAGTTGTCTTATGCCTTTGAAAGTGTGGTGGTATTCTGTAAGGTTTTGGTCCCAAAGTGGCGGAGGCGGTCCTTAGCTCCGGGATATCGGGCGAAGGGTCTATGAGAGAAGATAGTTGGGGAAGAAAATATTAACCCGGTAGGCGGAGCATAGAGATAATCTCGTGCCAAATCGAAATGAAAAATTCCTTGATAGGCCTAAAATGTGGGGAAAACTATTGGCTCGTGTGCTTGTAAGTGCATTAATCGATGGCTGCAATGACATTTGTTCAAGAAGCATTCGAATGAGACTGTTCCTCTGACATTCATACTGCATTGCACGGTATGACCTACATATTCATGCAGCTCAGTGGTGAACCAAAGCCATCGTGGACCAGGCGATGATGAAAGCTGATGCATGCTTACCTGTAATTATCGGTTAGATCAACAACAAATACTGGTATTTTAATGATGAAAAAGGCTATTTTTCGGATGCATCATGTGTAGCTGCATGTAAACTAGTGGATGGAATGTAAACAACGGAAAACAAAAGCGTGCTCAGCGGCTAGCCTGAGCACGATGACACTACAACGAACTAATACTGCATCCAACCCTGAGGAGTTGATACTATCCGCTGCGTGATTTTCTCCTAGGTATAATTTGCGCTCTCCTCACACAAAATATCATAATTCAACCCTCCAGTGAACACCGTTCTATTGTACTGTAGGATTCCAATAAAGGCGTGGAGAATACAGCATTGTTTTATGAGAGATAAAGGGTTGGCCGATATATGGTGGGTATTATCACACCAATGACTTCCTAGTCAGACGAATTGATAAGTGGCGTGGTGCTTGTAACCATACTGCTGAGGGGCTGTACAAGTAAACCAAATAATAGTTCATTATGGGTGGTGTCATAGTTGCTCGTAAGTCTTCAACGAGCCAGAATACATATACGGCATCTTAGGCCACAGGTTGGTTGATTTCTCCGGATTTCAAAGTTCGGGCGTTGAGCAACCTCTGGGCAAACTACAGAAACGGACTTTGAGTGGAGTCACTACCCTACAGAAGTTGATTCTGTTTGTACACTTTATCGCCAGATAGTGACATTGAATTCCCGTAGGCAAAGCGCCCTAATATCGTGGAGCCTTCCATTTGCTTGTGGAAAAGGAGAACTAGAGGTAGTTTGGAAAGTGTACGGTTGCCCAAGCCTAGACAGTAGTTTTTGGGATGCATATGATGAGTCTGAAGGACAGAACCCCCGGTTAGCAATTTCGCGCCTTAATCACTAGGCTAACTCAAACAACTTAAATCGTCGCAGACAGCTCTTTCAAAAACAACACCAACCCAGTGTGCACAGAGCTGGATAGATTTGTATACGCTAGACGTTAGACGAGACCTATCAATGTCAACTACAAGAGAGCTTCCTGCGGTTGTGACGATGGTTATGCCTAAAATTGGATTGTATTGCTCAAATTGGATTTGATAATTGGACAATGGCAGAAAAGCAAATACCACCATGTAGTTTGGAGAGCCGAAAAAAGGTGAATTTGAGCAGACAGACTACGCATAAAGGCTATTATTAGAAACGTCTAGCATTCTGGTTCTGGCAGGTGTCTGGGTGCCGTCATTCTTTAGTTCTCCTTAGCCCCGCTAAACGAGGCTGTAGTACCGGCGTCTTTCGAAGCGCAGTTTGTGAGCTGAAAAAATGAACTGATTACATTGTGGTTATGGTTTTTTTTAAAAAAAAGGACGATAACTTAGAGTTGGTGTCACGAATTCTACAGACTGACACGACCTTTCAACAAAATTTTATTTATTCCGAACGGAAACATTGGACATCATGAGAAAAAAAGAACCTTCCTCCCAGCCCACATTGATTGGGTAATAAACTGTACGTTTGGTGTAACACGTTTGGTACACAAGAAATGTCGATGTGTTTGCCAGGATGATTCGACAGGGATCCTTAGACGTCCTGAACGAGGTCTGAAGCTAAGGTGAAACTGAGTCAGGCGAACTGAGTAATGTGTGTGCAACGTTGTGCACAACCACCGCTACGATCCCCAGTAACGCACTGATGATGTCACCTCGATTGGTGATGAAACGTTTGCAATCAAATTGCCCAGCTCAGCGAACAAGCCAACGACCATTCATACCAGAGTTTTGGATCGCTGTAAGAACACTATAAGAAAACTGTATGAGTCTCGTCGACCATGTCGAGAAACCTAACCACATATGAGGACATACAAACAAGAAATAAACGTGAACTTTTACGAAACACAGATTAACTAGTTTGTTGCGGCCAGATTGCCAGATTAGGTCGAGACTTTAAAGTGAACTTCGTCAGACATGCCACTCACTTTGTACCAAAAGAAAATTTATGGTGGAAGCCCAGATTTCGGAATTCTCAGTCCCATCACCTATTGTTGACATTCCTGACTGAATGACGCTCAAGAGCGTACAAAGTTCCACCAGGTTACTGACAGTAGCAGTTTTGGTGCACTGTAAGGAGCAACTTCGACTTACAATGTTTAGAAGCATACATCCTAGCAAATTTAAAATATTACCTGTGGCACCGTGCCTGGTAAATTCCCGTGAATCTCCGTGTGAAAACTCTATAGCCACGTGTAACTATCAACTATAGTAAAGTGAAATAAACCATTGTACAAAGGCTTGTTTTCATAGCATTCAATAATTACCTACGTCAAGTGACAAGACTATCTCAACTCAGCTTCTTACGTAACAATAACCAATCTACCGATTGAGGTTAAATTACTGTTTCGCAGAGCCAAGCTGCAATTTCGAAGCTTTGTCTTCAGATCAATCCAACTGATGTAAGCAGGTATTTTACAGGTGATCAGTAAGAGCTATCCGGCCATATTGTTTCAGGCACTTTCGAGGAGTCCAACAAGAGCTCAAGGCTTCGCACTTACAAACTGATGCAGACAAGTCAAGTAAAGTTGACCTGTTTAGAACAATAAAAACCAGCAGGCGAAATGTCTTGAATATAGTAGTAGGGACAAACCAATTGTAATTAGTGAAAAATTTCAGAACATGAGGCTCATGCTTCAAGAATAGCTCTTAGGTGTTTTTAAATTTTCCCCAATCATAGCGCCAACTCATGCATATTGAGATAAGTGTTCGGGGATTAAAAGAACAAACAACTTTGCAGTTACCCCCATACAGTTTGCTTTTCGTGCCTAGTGAATTACCGACTTAAGTGATATACTTTCATCTGCCCAAGCAATCAACTACGTTTTGGCTCGGCATCATTGATCAGGAAGCATTATGGATTTTGGAGCCTATGCTTGTTTACTAAAATATCACCTGCCCGATGGCGGAAGACGGACGTTGGGGAAAGCGCATGAAACCAGAAAGAACCGTCTCTTATCAGGGAAACATTGCATAATGAATCACGCATATTATACTCAGCAGTAGCAAATTGTTCGACTGCCAGAATGCACACCGGAAGGAACATACGTGCTCTACGAGGGACATCGTGAAATGTAGACGGGAACTAATGTGGTTGGGTTCGACAATGCACATGGGGAAATAGCGCTTGTTTATCCACATGTGACTTGTGCTAACGGTTATTTTAGTCTTCCTTGCTGGACATGCTCAAGGTCAGTAGGGTTTACTTACCAGCTGAATTTGACCATGAATGATTTTAGTTCCGTCATGTATCAGCTTGCTGAACTGAGCGGAAATAGCCCATAAAATATCAGAACATTGCCTACTATTTAATTTAACTCATCTTGATCTGTAGCCTGAACAGCGCTCGTCCGCGACCTCCTAAAATTCATGTTTTTGTCTCCAATATATGCGGAGAATCCCTGTTGCTGAATGGTTCCGCATGGCTCTACTTCAATTAAAAATAATCAAATATCTAACAAGAGATATAGGCGAGAAGTTTTAATCAGGAAGTCAGTGAAAAATCTACCACACACGCAGCTTCAAAAAAGTTGGCACCACACAGCTTCAAATTCGAAATCACTGCCCTTTTACGGGACAAGCCAATTTACAAGAAAACTATCGCCAACGACCTCAGAGGAAAGACAATCATGAGACGGAATTGGTCAGGGATGAGAGGATTGGTAGCCTTCCAGAGTGTCGTCCAATTATATGGATCCGTTCCCTAAAACAACTGATGCCTTTTGGAACGATTTATTTTGCCAAAATTTCACAATTTAACAGTTCTTCACCAGACAAAAACTCACCTGTGAATTGCATCCTCGGTCGCGGATATTGTTTCCGGCTTCTTCTTAGCGGTTCTATGGTCGTTGAACAATTTGACGCCGTATCGCTTGTGTCCTCAATGTTGCTCTTGTACATTCTCAGATCATTACTCATCACAAGCCCTCTATAATCGTTGCTTAATTGAGTGGGAGACGATATTCTCGAGTCGACTTCGTAATCATGCGTCGTGGTCAGTTTGTCATCCGGTGGGAACAACACCCGAGGGCGCGGAGTTGGCTGAAAAATGGAAAAGTAAAAAAAATGCTCATTTGATATTTGCCATGACAGGGTTTAGCAGATAAAACGTCCAACTGCGGACATTCAAACACCGGTCAGCTGAACTATCGAACTAATAATGAATTGAGTGTCACCTCTCACCTCGAAAATGCGTTTACACCACTATCATCTAAACAAATGGTCGCCCACTTGCATGCAGTTATTTAGGTTAGTTCTTCCTAAAAGTCGTGGTTTAGCAGAAGTGTATACCTTAGACCGTAAATTCATGCCACCTCCTTGATTATCTGGTGTGCAAGACAAGGAAACCTCAACACTTTCACACTCGGTATATATATATATATGTATATATATATACTACCCAATTTCTTTCACACTGGTATATATATATATATGTATATATATATACTACCCAATTTTAGTGCCAAAAAAATTTAACCTCATATTCATGCTATCATACCAACCGCCAAAAGTGGAATCCGTGCTTCGACAAACTGGCGAATCAGATTCTAAACCCTTATATAATATGCCTACTTTACTCAAACGCTGTTGAGTATGTGACGAAATCGCACAAACTGTTTTATTACATCTGAGTAAAGAAAGCAAAACACGAAATCCCAGAAAAGACAATTCAACCGAGTATTTTACGGTTTGCTGACCATTAGATACTCAAATTCTCACGAGTCAAGTAGCAACGTAGGTCCGTTGCTAGTAGCACAAGCAATATTCCTCCCGTCTTCGGGGCTGATAAAAAGGCTGGTGGATGGACCGGCCAAGGTCAATTCACTCGTTATTTTGTGCCTTCCATTATCGTCATAAAAATGGTAGTCATGCCTTTTCCGCACCTTTCCAAAACGCCGGGTTTAACAAAGTACACTTTCTGTAGTTCAGGAAACAGGCGCTGGTTGCTGTTGTAGTAACATTTTGAACCAGACTACTATCACGGGCTCGCATGGAAATATCAGGATGAATGAGACCATTTGGGAACAAGATACCCGCTTCAGTCAACGGACAGGCGATGAGTTGTGGTGAACAAAGAAGGTTATGAAAATGGATGAGGCGAATGATAAGACCATCCAAAACTTCCTTTGGTTTTTCCGTGCCACCTGTCACAAGAAAACGCCGGTGAACTAGACGATCAAGGATCAAATTGGCTGTCATCTTCAATAAAGGTCGCCCAGAACGCTGCTCGAGCACTTTTAGCGAACATTCTCGTGGTCATCCACCACCACTATTTTAGGTGCTGGAACTGCAGTAGAACCCTGAACCATTAGCCTGGATCCCCTACGGCCTCAGAGGCTTATGGCTGCAAATGTTCCCTCAAACGTCACCAACCTCCTGTTTTGGATGTCCTACCGCCAGCATTATTTAATGATGGGAGTGAAGTCCTCAGCCAGCAACTGTCTGATATATTTTTCTGTCTGTGAGAAAAGAAGACTGTCCAAAACACCTGGGGACAAGCTGCAAAAGATCCCATTTTAAAAAAGGGGGCTTGTGGTAGGTGTGGTAGCCACAAGGGTATTGGCTTGACCCCAGTCGTAGCGAAACGTTTGGCATCACTCCTTCCTCGTCACCTTATGGTGGCTCGCGGAAGCCTGAAACGAGAGCGGCGAGCAGGATTCTGACTTGGTAGTTGGCGCGTTAATCAAACCTTTACACTCCGTCAGGTACTAGAACGGGTACTTTGAGCGACCCGGATTTCTACTGCTCGTGGAGTTCCAGGACATGGCAACACAACTCACTCCACAACGAACTTACTGATCAAGGAATGCACCGGAAGTTTGTTAATATGAAAATGTCTCTGTATCGGGAAACTGGCGAGCGTGAGAGCACACAGGGAGCTCTAAAAAGAGATATCCAAAGGTACTGCTTACTCCTATCTGATTTTGTAACTAACTGCGGATCTTCAGATTTAATAATGACAAAAAGCTTGTCAGTCTGGAATATACAAACAACATCACTCTCGTCTCCGAAGAGAACCTGTTTTTGTACGAACTGACCAAAATCAGATGGTAGTTCACTTGTTCGCTGAGCTGAGCAGTTCGATTGCAAGCGTTTCATCAACAGTCGAGGTGACATCATCGGTGCGTAATGCTATCCGTCCATATCGCCTGAACGAGTGTCTGGAGGTGTGGACACGTTGGAATGATTTGATAAGCAACAACTAATTCTCTTCCTCATCGATTTCCATTTTTATTCAGTCTTAGACTAATAACGACTCCGATCATCCATCACTATCAACATAATCGTTTTTGATTGTAGAAAAATATACCTGCGACAATCACTTGCCAGGGGCGAATTCGAGCCTTTCGTAAGCTGTACAGGCTGACTCTGTACAGGCTACACATTGCTCCATTCCCTTTAATTTAACCGGTCATTCCTGGCCAATAAAACATCTTCCTAGGCTTTCGAATACTGGTATTGATAACAGGGTGTGATGGAACAAATTATCTCAACAATTCTTGAACCACTAAGCCATCTGCTTCTAGAGGCACATTGTTTTCGAGGGTTAGTTGATCGCGGTCCTTGGGATAGTTCCCAGTTGCTAGTGGGCGAGAGACGCACAACAAATGGCATGGGTTCCCTGCGAGCAACTCCTAAACTCTCCACTCTCAAAGCAAGGCCGCTGACCAGTTGGGATCATCTTTGGCACCCCATGGTTGGCCAATATGTGATGCATTACCACTCCGCTGATCGTCGTCCCCGTTGATTTGACATGACTGCCACCTCGACCCACCTGGACAGGTTTTCTGTCATTATCACGATATATTGATTTCCCCTGGTCGTCACTGGAAAGGGGCGCGTGACGTCAACGAACCATAACTTGCCCACTTCTGAGACAGGAGTAAGTTACATGGAATAGGTTGCCCCTGTCATTTTCCCTTTCATCAGTTGGCACCACTTACAGGACACCACACAATCCATCACCTTACTTCTCATCCCGGGCCAGTAGGCCCTCTGCCGAAGTAAGTCGTACGCCTTGATGCATCCTCTGTGTGCCATCTCGTGGCATTTGACTATCGGCTTCCATCTCATGACGCGCGGTATCACAAGCAGCACATCAGAATCGATGACGTTCCAGGAAATTATGCCAGCTACGCTCAGAATCAGCCGATCGAAGTGACGCTGAAACGTTTGCAGTTCTTGTCTCCCTCTCCGTTTTCAATACTCCTTCCATCCAGCAAATTGGCTGCAACCTTCCATAACACAGAATCTTGTCGTTGGAAATGCACCAATCTTCTGTGATCCAGTTCGACGACGAGGCCATTGGCACCTATCATGATCCTGAGGACATCATCTTCAGCCTCTGGTCTTGACAAGCAATTAGCCACGTGGATCTCCCCCCTCCTAGGACGTGCTGGATCGTAAAGTCGTACTCTTGCAACCGGAGTACCCAGTGCGTGAGCCTTCTGCAAGGGTCTCTGTTGGTCCTGATCCACTCCAGGGATGAATGACCAGTCTCGACACGAAATCTTTGTCCAAGCAGATATGATCTCCACTTATCCAGGGCCCAGACGACCGCTACACATTCCTTCTCAATAGTTGAGTACTTCTGCCCAGCGTTAGTCAGGATATGACTGGCATATACGATAACTCCATTCCTCTGGTCTAGGGCTGCGTCGATGCCGCCGTCACTAGCGCCCGCTGCAACAATTAACATGTCTCCAACCCTGGGCAATTGGAGAATCAGTTGATGATCCAGCATCCGAGCTTTGACATATTCGAAAGCCTCATGTGCTTCCCTGGTCCACACGAATTTCCAATTTCGTCCAAGCAAGTCGTACACTGGAGCAGCAATCATTTTGAAATCCTTGGCAAACCGGCTGCAGTGTGCTGCTCGTCTAAGAAAGCGCGTAGAGACTGCTTTGAAATGGGAAGACCACAGTCCTCGATTTTGCCAGTTTTTTAGGCAGTCCGGTGACCTCTCCTTGACCACCTTTATGCCCCATCAGTGTCACCAAACACCGAGCGAGCTGTGTCTTGGCTTCATTTATCCGTGGGATACCCTCCTGGATATGCTTCTTGAGAAAATTTGCGCCCAATATTGTCTGTTCTATATCTGGGCTGATCAGGAACGTTTGTCGCACGGATTTGTCGCCAAGGTGCATTGATTGCATTAACAATCCCTCAATTTTCAGTCGGTATCCACTCACTACTCTCACGGCTAGCGCATACGGTTTGCATCCAACTTGGCTCCGTCTCCGCCTCAGCGATACCCCTTCTCCTGTATCAGTCATGCAGAGTACCCTCTTACCGTCCATCATGACAGCGGCCTGTGTGGTAGCCCGTCTGGTATCGCAACCCACCCGAAAAATGAGGAATAATCCCAGGTTTTATCATTTACAAGTGGTCCCATAGAACGACATTTTTCCTCTAGTGGCCAGACATGTCATACTGGTAGCATCGGCTTGTTCTAGCGTGCTCCTGCGATTCCGTCTTGGTGGCTGCGAGCTGTTCGGCTAGTTGGTCCACTTCGTTCTGCTTGTCCTCCACTGGTGAATCCTCCGTGTTCTCCGGCGACTACAATGTGGCCAGTGGTGCCTCGACCAGCCCCCGTATCAGATTCCCCAGCTCCTCTACACCCAACTGACCAGTTGCTCTCGCCAGCCGCAACTGGGCACCAAGCGCCGGTTGCACTCCTTCGATGAACTGGTTAGCCAGCAACTACTGGCGCGACACTCTGTCCAGTCCCTGTCAAGCCCGATCCAACGTCTACTGGAGGTTGGCGAAGAACGCGGTCGAATCTCATCCAGGTGCCATCATGGCCGCCTTGAACGGCCTCATAGCCTCCTGGCGGTCGGCCGGCGTGTCAAAATCCACCGCAAGGGCTTTCTTCACGGCGGCCCAGTCCATCTTCCGAGGGTCCCTTCTGGCCGCATCCAGGGCCGCCTTCACCCGGTCTCTGAGGTGGGTCTTCAGCACCGCCAAATTGCTCCGGTCAGTCTCCAGTTTAGCAGCCTCCACAAGCTCCTGGAAGTCCTCCAGGAGGATCGAAACATCCCCATCTCAAGGTGTTGTGGCCACGGGATCCCCATTATCTTGCTCAAGGCACCAAATGAAAGGATAAAAGCCCTTTGCAGCTGAGTCACTTATTAGAGAACACCAATTAAACAGCTACAGACCATAGGACAGGAAACTAAAACCGAATATCCGTCTTCTTGAACGCGTCTTCCTTAGTTTCCCTGGGTCACTGACTATCATGAAATTGTAAAAATGCTGCAAAACGGTTCCACACATTCCGCCATAAATCCCACCTGCTAGTAGATCAAGGCGGAGTTACAAGCAAACCACATACTACTCAAATCGGTGGTATCCACTGTTACACTGGTAATTCGGGTTCTTTTGCTAGTTGTTAACCAGGTACCTGCACATCCATCCACCGGTCTTGGCAATTGAAGTTTCTTCACCATACAATAAAACATATGCAGTGGGTACCTGTGTTGGATATTATTTCCCATTCGTTGTGTCTACCTTGTAGACAAAATGGTGATTTTGATAGTTCTAGGCTGGTAACCACCAACTAAGATGGTGTAAACTGATGAGGGTGATATGTGATGACCTCCTCGTTATCTCTGCCCTTACAATCTTGTTCACTTTGTTTTTTGGGAAGTGGACACCTCGGCCGAGCGGTAGGTTCCATTCTGTTACCGCAACCTCATTAAACCCCACAGTGAGGCACGAGTGATAAAAACTGAAAATCCAGGAATTGTGCTGCAATCATAGAAGTGGGTAAAACAATAACAATGTTAACGCCCTGTACAAATACCCACGGAAAACAGGAGGACATCGCCCACGTCCACAATCTTTGTGTTTGCCAAGAACGCTGAACCATCCTGAGCAGTGTGAATTTCCACCATGATTGCAAGACGGTTTTCCAAACTTGACGAACCTAGGTTGTCTAATATTCTTCATTGCACACCTTCACAAGTGATTCAATTCTACTGTTACCAGATAGCAATGATTGATGTTGAATATGAACTGAGATACTAAACCGATAGAGAACATCCTAAAGCAAAATCAAAATAAGATCACCACACAAGACGCTAACAGTAGTCCAAACAATGAAGGTAGTAGCCGAAGCTCATACCGGTTGTGGGACTTGTCCTGAAGGTATCTGTCAAAAAGGCATGCACTGGATTTCTACCCGTAACATGTCGTTATTTGGAACATCTACATTACTCGCACACAATAAACGAGTGAGTATCTGCTAGAATGAGAACATGATTGACGGCCAACAGATGTTGTTGTTCATAGGACATGCATCACAAACATTGTGGCGAATGCGCCGCATAATCTCTTCTGCTACTACAAGCTGACGAATAATTGTAACGGTCGATCGATAGCCTGCTCAAGTAACTCCAGGCTGTTGGAGTTTACCAAGTTGGAACGATGATCGATTTAGACACATAGACACTTCCTAAATGAAGCACTTCATGTCGAGTACACGGGCTCGAAAGGTGAAATTATGCTGCTCAATAGCATGCTTAGATATTTACCAATTATAAGAACTGATTTTGTAGACACGAAAAAGTTAGAGGGGGGATATTTCTCATGGATCATGCTTTTTAAGTTCACTTCAGCCAGACAGCTCCATGTAGAGAAAAAAATGACTGTTTTAGTGGTCCGCATATCATCCGAAATGAATTATTCGAAGTGACGTTCGAACAGAGGCTTAAATTGTTAAGTGTCAAAAATTTACACCAAAATTCTTGACACCGGTAACCCAAAACGATTTTTCGAACTCTACCGCAGAATTTCACGAAATATCAATGTTTGAAAAAGCGTTTTCCGCCGTGTTCTACGGATGGATTTCGGCACATCATCATCATCATCGACAACATGACACCAGTGTTCAACACCGATGCTTCACTGCCGTACAACCATGATTTATTTGAAAGCCTTATTATAAAGAAAAGAATAAAGGTGGACGGGGAAGGGACTTAGTGCTAGCTTAACACAATCATTCCGAGGTGCCTACACCTCCAGACATTCACTCAGGATTGTAGTTCTATCAATAATATTTTATCTCGAGAACGAAAAGCTGCATGCTACTAAGGAATGTTCGAGAAAAAAACTTATATGGATTTGATACAAAACAGGGCATAAGTTTCATTCTTCCGAATGTGGTGGACAAAACCTATGAAAAACTTGATTATGTTGTCTTACTATATCGGGGAAGCGTACAACATCTGACAATTTTTAGAGGGCATTTCTTATGTAGTAAATTCACTAATGCGTTTAGCTGAGTTTCCGCACCACTGGTGGCGCCCTGGGCAATTTATGGCAGATCAAACCCTGAAGTGAGAACACATTCTGTATTCAATTAAACCACAAGCAATGACCTCGAGAAAGGGACAATAGAGAACCCCCCGATGGCTGTCCCGTTTTGACTCTTGTTTGACACCGCGCCGTCTGTGAGAACAATCAACAAGTCCAATTTTGGACAGTAAAATTCGCACTCTGTTAGGTTTCCAATGTGTATCTGAATAAAACTAGTGAAATTTCCTTCTTAATTTGACCGCTCAGCATCAACTTCGCTGTATCATGTTCGTCAGATAAAACTCTATTGTGTATCCAAGTAAACAAGGCTACTCACCTTTGACTGCTCTTTGCTAATGGGATCGGGTATCTTTGCGTCTCCATTGATGGGTCCGTGCTGCACCTTAATTCAATAGAGAAGGAAGTATATTGGCTTCAACAAAATGGCTCCCAAAGTGTGAGGCCTTTGTTGCCTCGAGTGAAATAAAGGCTATTGTGGAAGCTGAATTAATATGCGGCTTAAATACGCAGTCAGTGTTTTGAGTGTCCGAAAATTGTGATTACTGCAATAGGAATACAGACTCCTCCAATACAGCAGGTTGCATTCAGCTAGATCAGTGAGAACCCATCGTGTCTCATAGGGAATATGGAGCTTCGGGGGGAAAACTTCTTAAAAAGAAGTTTAACAACGTACAATGTGCACGCTGTGGAAGGTTAATTGTTGGGAACCTGTGTGATGTGTGCTGTGCTGGCTGTTGGACCGGTTGTTCGCGCCCGAAAAATCTGAGGAGAGACCAGCCACATACGAAGGGCACGGTCAGTCGACTTTGAGACTGTGTATCCCACGCTTGTTTGATAAGCGTATTCCTTAAGGAGGGTGTGCACTGTAAAATCGACTCATTTTGACTTCCATCTGAGGACATTTCACTTATGCATCAGCATGAATGTTACTTAGGGCCGTCACCGCCCGGTATACGTGTTTACTTTGGCCCAATATGATGGCTGCCACACAGTACCGACCGGATACCACCAAATAGATTCATATAGCTCACCATGGTGGACACGTTCTAGTTTAGAAGCGAATGTGACTAGCCAATTCTAGCTCCCTTAGCTAATTAAAGGTTGTGCCATTTATCAACAACCTGACAACTGTTGGCAAATTCAAAAGAAGCAGGCTCGTCTGTTATTACCGGCTATCCTTCAGTGAAGAAGTATGGTGTCGGCCCTGGGTACCCAAGGATATTCAGCTGCTCACATAAGGATTTAAGCAGCTGAATATCTGGAGGGACTGCATGAACACCAATTTGTACGTTTGCCGATTGTGTACAAATACGTACGAGGACTCCCGGGGTATTAGGTTTTGACAGTGCAAAAAGGAAATACGACCGTTTTCGAGCTGCGGTTATATTTGAGAAGCATCTATTTTATGTAACACGCGCAGTCATTCGGTCATATTTGAGGAGATCTATTGAAGGAAACTTAGCATAGGCGTCAGTGCCGATATGGATACGGTAGGCCGTGAACATTAGGATAATGCGCAAAAATGACCTTCCTGACTTCAAATCCTTCAAGGGTGTTCGGTGAATGCTACTCAAGACCAGTTCCTAAATAAATCAATGTATTTTGAATGGCTAAGGGACTAATTTGATTTCGGTGAAAGTGTAGAGGAATCCGGAAATCCTCTTCAAAGCTTTCTTTCTAAGTTAAATCAGTCTGTGCCGAAACTTCAAGAGGCACTGTATAGCTGTTTCATCTTCATTGTCAGAGCTTTCAGAGAGACCCGATCTCGTAAACTACCATCTGGCCACAAGCGGTTGATCAGCATTCTGATTGGAGATGGTACGGCAACACTTATCCTTCGCTCAAGTAATTCATCTCAACTGGTCACGTGTCGACTGGAACCTCAAGTGCTGACTTCACAGATGGAAAAGTCACGCCAATTGTGGATTGTTGTTCCCTCTGGGCTACTTATAAATTGTTGATAGTGTAAGGGGATCCGGTTTTATCGGGCTGCTGATCGCGATGACCCTCTAGTGTGATGGAATGAATGATGATCAACGAACGGGAACGAGTAGGATCATTCCAGCTTAGTCCTGTGTTAAGAAGTAAATTTATTTTATGTATTGTGTTCTAGTGAATTACTCTTCATCCTACTCAAAAGGTTGCTGAAACCCCTAAACCACTACATTTTGCTTTTGTAATCATTTCGTGTGAATGCCACCAGGTGAACCGCATTACCATTCAAGACATTCCACTTTGTTAAACCTACAGTGGATACTACCTTTGGGCAGGCTAAAGTATCTATTGGCTGGTTAAAGCTGGGCGTAGCTGTCTTTAGTCACGAATATAAAATATGCGTCTCAACTTTTCATTTCTCCCTCATTGCTGATCAGCTGTTGGTCATCAGTTGCACGGGATGGCGGCTTAAGACCGGCCTCTTTCTCCGGTTCACTGTCGTCAGGCCTCAGCGCGTTCCGTTGATTTCACAGATGCCTCACTGCGACGCATGTATGGCATTATCTGTCGTGTGCAAGAGTTTCCATCGGTGTAGTTCATCTAATCAGATGAACCTGTTAATGGGTATCAGCACACACTAACCCTTAACAAGGATGTTATTGAACAGAGAGGGAGACTACTCTTTTGGTCCGCTTTTGATAAACAAGGCGGCGTTCATTTTTTTTAACTAATTTTGTTCCAACAATAATCAACGAAAATTAAATCACTTACTTTCGAGTTCGTAAGCTGGTCAGAATCACTGATTTGTCCGAAAACAGGCATGGACGGCGCCTTTAATAAACAAGAGGATCTTATTAGTAAGCATTGGCAAGGAGCGTCCCAGGATACACATGCAATAAACTATGCTCCCATAAATATTCACAAGGACGGAAAAAACACAACCAAACAACGCCAGTTTAATGCTTTCTCAACAGCATGCGTATACAACAAAAGGGGGCAAAAGAAAATTCCGAATAAAAATTGTATAAGTGCAGGTGAGTTAGGCATCCCTTTACTGAAATACATTTTGTTTTGAGATGATAAACTGCGCTATACAGGGGTTACATGGATATCACCGGTTGATAATATTTCCGGAATCAGTTTTGCTACAAAAGACTTTACCCGAATGGAAGAACGTTTATAGGATGGCATTCGCCCATTCACCGATGGCGGGAGCACTGGAACCATAGACGACTTGTTTTCGCTTTTCTTAACGGGGAACTGCGGAATATATCGAGCAAATTTAGCATAGGTTTATTTGACGGAGTAAGTCTAGTCAAGTTTCAACAACGAAAGACCCACCGGAACCGATTAACCGGACCATATCTGCCAACGAGACTTTAGAAACCGAGATCCGTACAGCGACTCCCACCCTTTTGCAGCAATAATTTAAGTGGGTTCTAATGAAGTTCCCAAGTGCCTACTATCAAAGATAAACGAACAAGATAATAACAGTACGCGCACTGTCCTGAGTTCATGGGGTTAATGAATACCAACACTTTCAACATCTTTCAGTGGGAACTGATTAGTAGAAGGAAGGTTACCGAATTTGCTTTCATGGAGTGCACTATGTATGGTCATTCATGGCTGGCTGGGCTGTAGCTATAGGCAGGTAAGCTCTAGGGTACAGCGAATTGGAGCACAGGACACACAATAAATTTCGGCTTTGAACCAAACCTTGCCAGTAAACGTTTGCGACAATTCTTGGAACAGCACAATATGAGAACAACAGATGAAAATTCGCGTGAACTTTGCTATGAAACCAACTCAGGGGAAGATCAACTAAATTGTACAGACGATAACGAAAAACTAAAGCTTTCTTTTACTCCCTCTAGTTTCAATGAGCATTATTGTTCTTTGGTTATTTGAAAAGGAACTGGGATAAATAACCAACCGATGTGCTCCGGGACTTCTTAATTTGAACAATGCGGTTAGCATGATTTTTGGACCAAAATGCTGAACCATGATATCTTGTACAGCTTTGATTAAACATTTCAGGAGATTCAGCCACGGCTTTGTGCCACTTCCTACTTGCTGCTTTTTTATAATTCTCTAGGTAGTGTCATCAGAGTGACCTGGAAACCATCCGAAATCCCCGGTCGTTTGGGGCTGCCTTATCAAACTTACACCACTGGATCTCACAAGCTATGCCTCAGAGCAGACCGCCGTACAAATAAGTACGTGCGGTACAACACATTGTTTTCCGTCCGTCATGTGTATATTCAGGAGATATTGTGCGGATCCGTAGACAGGTATCCCTAGCTCATCAGGAACGGATAGCCCGAACACCCACACATCTAGTCTTATGTTTCAGGCTACAAACAGGGAGGCAGTCAGTTAGCGGCAACTGAGTGCAAACCCAAGTCCAATTCCTATACGAGAAATACCGAGTACGTCTGATCGTTCAGCTGTAGCACCCTTTCGGTGACTAGCTGCCGTGCCACACGAAGGAGGCACGAGGGCTGGGATACTGCCAGGTCGCCCAAGCACAGACAGGGGAAGTCGAGAGGTAGTCGGGTTCGAACCATGGACCTTCTGGTCAGTAAATTCGCGCTCTAGCCACTTGGTCCCAGCGCGATTTTAGTCTGCGGACTGAACCCCGACCAACCCCATGTCGGATTTAATCAAAAATATTAATTTATTACGATATCTAACACTTAATGTCAAATTTCCTAAGCATATTCGAGATCCAGTGATTCCCGCGTTAAGAAGAAGCTGATCCGTTAAATGAATTCGGATATTATTAACATTTTCTCCCGCTTCAAAATGTGATCTTTCAACATGTTTTGCCTTTTCAGTTACCAGTAGACTCAGCAGCTATAGTGTACATCCCCAAAGAGTCAACGACACCTAAAAGATGGTCTTGTCTAGTCAGCAAATCTGCAATACTCAGATCTGCCTTCACCAGCGTCAGTATGATGACCAAAAAACTACTAAGTGATGTCCATGAGCATTATTTATAAAGTCTACTTACCTTTGAAGGTGGTGTGAAAACCGGAACGGGTTCTCTTGTCTCTACGTGACCAGACTCAAGTTCGATCTTTGGAAAAAGAAATCAGCAGATTAAGCTTTGGTCAAAGCATCCCTATAATACAGTGAAACCACCAAAACCAGAATAAAGATGTGCGGTATGTGCAAACCATTTGTGAGAGCATATGCCCATGACACACTTTCAACACTTAATCTCAAAGCTTCAGTAACAGGGGTACAATTAGAGAATAAATATGGTCCAACTAAATAGCAAAGACTGAATTGTTCGTGGCCGTACTGGGCCTGCGATGATGGTGTATGTCAGTTACAGAAAATTAAGACTCTTAGGGTGACAAAGAGATAGTTGTTTTTCTATGCTTTAAACCTAACTAATTCCTCGGGCGAGCGTGGTGTACGTTAACTACAGAGTTGCATATGGACTGTTCTTGCTGGGCTAATTTCAACAGTTTCGTTACCACACTGAATTAATTTTTAGCGTGAATCCATAAGAGAATGTTGTTTTTATTGGTACAAAACCACACGCCATTGGCTGTAATGAGAGAGCAGTCAGTTCCGGAAATCACCCTTAGTTAACCTAGTCAACATGATACATGCAATTACTCGAGCCACGCCATTAAGGATCATATGCCAAGTAAAGTCAGAGGCCATCGAGCAATATTATCTCACGATTTCTGAAGTCATTTCTGTCTGTCTTCTATCACACGAAGCTGCTACACACGAAAAATCAATCTTACTCTTACCATTGAACCAGCCTGGTTTGTGTGCCTGCCTTTCACATTCAAGGTGTACACTGAGTATGCTGCTGTTGAAGTCATCCATTTTTTTGAGAAATACACTCATTTGCAAATTAATTTGGTTTTCACGGGAGACTCGATTGAATCTCTCGTTTATGATGTCCTCCATTTTTTCTTTCACAGTCTCCGCCTTATTCTAGCATAGACCACCTAACCTGGTGTCACACCTGAATGCGGTTAAAATGTTTTATGCGCGACCTTGGTGAAAATGATCAATAAAGCGATTCTATATGATGTCCATCTGAACTCAGACTCCCTACTGACTTCAAGACTTGAAATCAATCGGTGGGTAAGAAGTACTATTTCAGTGACACCGTTTTCACCATAAACAGCATGCAAGCAATACTCATCCTCTGAGGGGCACGAAAATAAGCAATAACATCAGTGGACGTAATACACTACTCATAAGGTTGCTGAAATTCAGCCGGGTTCCAGATGAGTCTCTCAAAAAACCAAGTTTATTTGCAATTGAGTGTATTTCGCCAAGTAAAATTAGTGTTTGCTCCATCTGAAGAATAGAACACGGTTGTCGTTGTTGAAGTATTAATCCCAGGAAATATCGGCCCTCAAAAAAATGAGATTGTGTGAGCAAAGCGTTGTATTTCAATGACTTCAGTGTGGTCACCCCAAATTGTTCATAGCACTCCAACAGATATCCCAAGAAAGTCGTGGTATGAGAATCAAGATATCCCTGTGTGTGGTTTTCAGTCGAATGAAAAATTCATCCCGTTCAAAAGATATTTAAGAATCTAGAACGACCCTTCATTTGGATGTTGATCAGGTAGCTGCTGATCGGCTTGCTGAGCTTCTCAAATGACTTGCAAACATTTCGTCACCAGTACACAATAGGGTGAGTACTTCCCTTTCGCCTGCGTGCGCCTACGTAGCATTCAAAGATTATCTGTTATCACTCAATGCAACCGACTAATTGGGAGACAGCCTTTTTGTGAATTTATCAGCTGCTGCGTCAAAGGTTGCGTCACTTTTCGTTGATTGCTTATCCCAACACCTATTTCTAATAGTTTCTCCGTTTGCTTTGATTGTTTCCTTCTCAACTTACATTGCGTTGTGGTTTCATTTTCTCAAGATCAATTAGTTCGTTGCACCACCCTTGCTTCTCCATCGTACAGGCTGGTGTTTCTGCATCCGGTGATTGATTTGGTGCTTTGGTATATTTGATGGGTGCATGCATGCTCTAATCAAATTGATGTGCCCTTTTGAATCAGCCTTTCCTGCGTCTTTTAGGAGTCCCTAGTCTGGTTTCGCGTGCAGTTTAGGGCTTTGCAGTTATGGCATTACCTTGCTCCTAGTGACTGATAAACGGGATTAATTTCGATATGATTGTTGATAACTTCGGTAGAGTATAACGCTCCCATAAATTCAATTTTTCTTCGTTCTTGCCATTATGCGAATGTCATTCCAGTCGATCATCTGTCATCGCTAGTGTTTGTTCGCGGAAATTTCAGAAAAAAAATTGACTATGTCATTTAGCTGCGAGCTTGTGCTCATGTATTCTGAGAGGAGATTCTGTCCCGTGTGTCCTTTTTAAAGTTTGCTCAATCCTTGCATTGAATCCTATGTCTTCCATTATTGAATGAGATTCTCCTTGTGATTTCGATACTGCCTTCCAGAGTGTTCGTATGCATGTAGGCAGCAGCTGTATTGCACTGTTGGGAGAGGCTCACCGTCACTTCAGCGATGTTCTTGAAGTATGGGAATGTGGTTCGTTCGCTTCAACTTTGTGCTGTTGTATTAGTCGTATTTAGTTTCCTGTGTGATATCCAGGTAAAATTCCTTGGGTATCCATTTCTATGGAAAAACTTGTGTAAGCGTTTTCTTTCTTTGAAAATGGATTCTTTCATGTTACAGAGTATACCGATCGGCTTGGAAAGTGTTAGAATACACCTTCGTTTGTGACACTTTTGACGGTCGTTGAGGTAGCTCAGAACTCGGCTCGTATGCGTTGCCAAGCACCAGTACACAAGACTCATAAAAAGGTCGTTGCTTTGCTCACAAATTCGAAACTACACTCTGCAATAAACGTGGGTTGGATAGCTATCATGATTCAACTGACAGAACCTTAAAATCTTGCGGTCCACCCGTTCTCTTCCTCACGAAAACGAAGATATCGGTCAACGGAAATTTCAAACACTCTCAGTGGCAAAATGCTCTAACTTGAATCCAGTTTTTCCAAACTGAGAAACCTCCATCTTCAAGTATCCTGACAATTCGTGTATTCACCGTGTTGGAAGAAAGAACTGGACGTATGACCACCAGCGATCTCACTTTTCCTTCTCTCCATGTTCCGTCTACTTTCTCTCCCGTGACTTCCACATATCTATCACCATCAGTCGTAAGACAATATCTTCTGATATACATGTCACAAATCGACACTCCGAGAATTGTCACAAAAGCAGCGAGTTGACATTTTCACCTTTTTCAACCATTTAATCCTTGGCTCTAAAGGACTTTTGAGCTACCTCCCCGAACAGAAAGACAAAATTGCCACCCAAACTTTGTTTTCCATCAATCAATCAATCAATCAATCAATCAATCAATCAGTCAATTCATCGGCCATGAAACGTGTGCCATAGGCTACTACAGTTTCGATCACCGAAAAACGGGAGTAACCAAGCCTTGGAGGTGAAGGCATATTTGATTCTTTCGGAAATTGGATAGCTATGCATTGAGGGCGATAGCTTCGATGCACGAGCGCCACTGACTGCGCGATTGGGCCATTTTCGCTTATGTTATTAACCACTGATGATTTCAGTCCCGAAATCCCCACCCAGGGAGGCGGTAGTTACCAACCGACCAAGTTATTTCACTTTTTCTCAGCTTCCATCCCTACAGCTTCAAACTATTTCTCATCACAATAAGGACGGTTGTCTAATGCCTGCTGTCGTTAAACGCATCTAAACGCCTCAGATCACATAGTGTTCCCACAACTATACCGCCTACTGCGCTCTAGCATTGAATTCAATTATATATCGTCCTTTGGGTCTTCCTCTTACTTTGGGTATAGTTTCATCAGCCTTGAATCCCTATTACCAGACTTTATTATCCGATCCGAACTACTACCGACCCATTCTCTCCAAAGTTCTTGAGCCTATCTGGGCCAAATAATTCCAACGTGCTTCGGAAAACACAGCTTCTTGAGCTTCCAGTGTGGGTTCAGGAGAATCATTGTGATGGTGACCTACTGAACTACCTACCACTCGTACGTTCCGCTGTTCTGGATTCCTTTAGTAAAATAGACTTAACAGGGGACAACGTATCGAAAGCGTTTGATCGCGCATGTCACAAAAAGACGAATTCTAAGCCTTCAGTGTAAAGCGTGTATCCTGATTTGGTGCACTGGACTGAAAACTTCTTGAGAAACCGTCCGGTTGAGGCACATCGTGATGGTGCCAAATCTCAGACACGGAAGATCAGCGTAGGTGTGTTCGCAGGTTAGCTTCTTTCGTTTACACTGTTCTTGCTGTTTATCAACGATCTGTAAACTACTCTCTTTTTGTTGAGCTCATCATTCGCATACCCATTTCTAACATCTATTCCTATTGATCATCTTTCTCATCTAGGAGGACGCGCATTCCGACATCACCTGAATGCAAATCTTACAAACGCTCATGCCTTGGGAAAGGTGAAAACTTTAACCATCCCTACCATATTTACGCGGGCTTATCCCTTTCCTCAGTGGTTTCCACCTACCCCCCCTCGTTGTTTGGTTCTACCTTATTCCCCAAATTGCACAGCTGCTCGCATCTTGGTATCTTCTTTTTAACCAGCCTTAAATGCGTTCTACAAGAAAAGTTTATTGTAATCTGAGCCTCCGGAAAGCTCATTTTACTTTCTCATTCTAGCAATTAATCATCTCCAATCTCGCATCTTAAAAAATCCTCGGCATGAAATAATCCAGCCATATTGGGATTAGTTTTTCCAGACATTTTTCATTCCTAGACGCTATTCCTCCAACAGGTTGTGCGCCTGACTGACTCAATTTCTTTGGCCTTCTTTATCTGTAACCCCACTCTTACCATCTTTTGCTGCCTTACGGTCAATACCACGGTTATCGCTTTGCTGAACTTATTACCTAGTTACGTCCCTACAGTCACAAAGCCACCGTACCCGTCTATACTGTTTAGGTAGTCTATATCAAACTTCAATTCTTCGTGACCAAGGAAAAATAGCTTCCCTTCTTTTCTTTCAGAACTGTTCGTTTTTGGAATCATCTCCCATCTTGGCAGTGTAATCTACGACGTCCATCTGAATAAACCCCTTAGGATATTTCACAGGTTTGTTTATTTGTACTTTATTTAGTTTCAACGAACAACGGTATCTCTAATATCTTGGCTAGACGATTTTAACCAGTTCGATGTCCTTCGGTCTTAAAGACCTCTGACCATGGATCTTCTGATTTGCTGTAGGTCGCTTTTTTCAGTAATGAAAAAGTTGGAATTTCCGGTTAGTACTGATATGACTGGAACAAGGATAGGCAAGTGGCCTGTCTCTAAGTTAAAACGAGGTGAACATCAAGGTTACAGTTCGGTATTATTAGTCCGTTTCACTTCGCTGCTGGCACACATCATCCGTGTTCATGAAATCATTGGTGACTTGTAACGTTATCAGCTCTGTTTCTACTCCAGCAACAACTCCCTGCCTCAGTGTCATGGTCAATAGTCAAGTGCGCGGGTACCTCACAAAACGTGCCCTTACGGCAATACTCTGGCATTGTTCGACTTCAAACCGTGGTATATTTACTATATCTGGAAATCTCTACACTAGCAACTGTAAGTTGTCCTTCACACGTTTTGGAAAAAATGGACGAGTGTCTGCATACATGACACATCCGTATAAACCTTATTTGCCAAACGACCGTTAAAAGGGGGCTCTAGATGATCGTTTGTTGAAAACAGAGAGCAGGGCAATAAAACTTGAAGCGACTGCCACACTTGGTGCTCCCAATCAATTACTCAGTTTTTGCTCACGTTTTATTGAACAGGGTAGCCGTTTGATATGAAAACAGTGATGCAACGTAAACCCTAGTCTAAGTTGCGGCATTCCAGATTGAGTTACTCTCCAAATACCAAATGTTCAGTACCCAATTCATAAACGTGAAACAGACTCCGAACTTTCCACGCCCCTGTGGATCTGAAAAGACCAGAAGTACTTTAGTGCGTTGGTTGGTTTGATTTCTTTATCCGGTAAGTGCTAGCACAAATATGGTTGTTGTATGCAAATGAGATGTACCACGATAATGTGTCGCCAGTAACACATTTATTGACAAATAAATGAATAAAAAAATACACGGTGAAGTATCTCGCTAAATGAGATAGGCTGGAAGCCAAACGAGGATTCAGACAGCTTCTGTAATGATCCTACGGATATCGGCCTATTGCTGCATGACCCAGTTATCAGACAATGGAAAGACTAGGTTTATTCAAATCCACATGCCGAGAATCAAATTCATGAAAATGAAAATTTGCCACGCTTTGTTTCGTCAGTTGTCTAAGTATAGGCTTTGAATAAGCTAACCAGCATTTTTTAACAAACACCCACCTTATCATTGTGAGCTGGTACAGGATTGGTGGATGGGAACGGCACTGGGTTGAACATCCCAACAGATGGCTCTTTGGTTGTCACTCCGGGACGGAAATTGGACGCAGCGTCTCGAAAGCCAACGGTTTGATCAGTATTTCCCACTTGCTATGAAAAAATGGAGGGCCCTTAGCTACCAACCAACTAAATTATCGTATGAACAAGGATGAACTGCACAAGATCGTCAATTCAGATTGCAACTTGTCTTGGATCAGGCCGAAATTATGTCAAAATGCATTTAGATTCGTAGAAAAGACAGGCGCTGATCGTAACACTCCGTCAAGACTCCGAAAGCACTTTACAATGGAATCGTACTCATGTATATTTGTAGTGTACTACTCATAAGGTTGCTGAAAATCCATCGACAGCCCACGACCGGTTTCGCCCTTCTTGGGGCTCATCGGGTAGGCGCAGTCCCCGGGTTTCCGTCAACCTTATGTTCTAC